AGTTGTCTCTTTTGTCGCTCAGTTGGGCGACTCTCAAGTTCACCCCATGGCCTGAAACAATGTCCTCTATAAATATGTTCTCCTCCCTTCCTGCCCACCTTTGGGAGCTTGAATCCAAGCAGATCCATTTCCCCAGCTCTACTGGAGACATTGGTGCCTGGCGGACCCTCCTCTGAACAAGTCCTTGGTGGGGAGAGAGTGCCCTCTAGTGGGTAGCAGCTGGGAGCGGCTCTGGACCAGCATTGCTCAGCCAAGGACAAAACAGTCCTTTTCACACAGCCCTCCCACCAGGTCTCCTGAATGTGCCTTTGGGTTTGGTTTGTTTTTCTCCTTGTGTGAAGAAAATAAATAAAGATTGAACAGCAACAGCGGGAGGCCAGTTGTGAGAGCAGCTCCTCACCAGGCTGTGACAATCTCCTTATCTCTGGAGTTTTAGCACTGGATTAACCCCTAGGGCAGGTGATGGCAGCAATGCCAATGTGACTTCGGGTGTTTTCTAAGGGCCGTGACAACTTCTGCATAAATCACTTACCTGTAGTGACTGGTCCCTGTCTTGACTGGAATGGGAGGGGGTGATTTGTGGGTAGGAAACTCCTCCTTTAAGAATTATTACCTAACAGGGTTAAATAACTTGATGCTATGTACAGAGAGTGGGGATGTTAGAACGCTGTATCAGCAGCATGCACAGGCATCGGGGCCTTTAAAGCCCGGTCCAGGGAGGAAGAGGGAGTGGGTGCAGGGCACCCATCAGGGAGGCGGGAACCTGATCATATGTGATGGCTGCTGGATTAGGTAACAACTTGGCTGGTTGAAATTGGATCTTGGAGAACGAGTGTTAACATCTCTGGTGTCCCAGTGAAAGGTTCATTTGAGTCTTGCCTGGTGCTAGAGAAATAAAAAGGAGCTTTTAAATAATCATTTTGTCTCCAACTCACCAGAGTATTGACTTCAAGTCGTAAATAGGAAGCATCACTTCTGTTAGCCATATCAACTGTTTCATTTATTTATTTAATGCTGGTGGAATTTTTTTTTTAACTGACTAGCGGATCAGTTTCCGGGTCATTGAATCCCAATACTTGTTTTTATAGTGGTATCTTGAAATCTTGTTCTAGGAAGAAATATGGACCTGCAAGATTCCTTGCCTTCTCCAAATGTGCATATGCAGCCCAAGGCCTTCCAAACCGAACCTCCCATGTAGGATAGCACAGCAAAGTGTCTCCTATTTGCATCTAGTTCTTGCACATATTCCAACATTGCCTATTTGCATGATCAGAGTGTAATTTAGAAGACACAATGTGTGCGGGGGGGGGGGGGGGGGGGGGGGGGGGGGGGGGTGTCTTTCTGGGCTTTTGTTTTTTCCTGAATCCTTTCACTCTTTTATTTTCAAATTTCTGGTGGAACCCATTTATGTATTTCTAGCAAATCCAAATGTCTTTTGAAAGACTATTTGTTGAAATCATTTATGCTGTAAAATGTAAGCACTTTTATTGTTGCCTACCCCCCCCCCATTCCCAGGTAAATCTTCATTCCCCATACAGGAATCCGTGCCCCCAGTGCACTGTCTGCCTGAAACTTTCACTGTGCATAGTCGTTAGCATTACTGTCTTCTGCATCTCCCACAGCAGCCTTAGGAAGTTCTGTCCATATCTTTTTAAAATACTTAAAATTTCACAGGCAAGCAAGATACGCATTAGTTTGAGGAGAATTTATGAGGATGAGCTTGGCTGTTTAAAAGCACTGAGGCAGGGGCATGACTGAAACCCAGAGGTGTGGGAAGACAGAATAGTCTCGGGGATATCAAGCATACAGGAACCAACAGTGCATGTCTGCTCATGGTCACCTACCTGATATGTGGGCGCTAGACTCTCACAACTGGTTTTACTGGAGGACGAGTTGGGAGTTTAGGAGGCCATCTTTTGGGGGAGGGAGTACCTGACATTGCTTTGGGCAGGCAGAGCCTGGGACGGGAGGTGCTGACTCCTGGAAAGCTTTTTGATTGTGCTGCTGTTGATGAGAACAGATATCATCTCTAGTGTGGACCATGTGCAAGGGTCATAGGCCACAGAGTCCTGGGAGAATGCCGTTGGACATATTAGCACCTGGCCAAATGTTACCAGCTTTAGCATCGTGGGAAAGTTTTTGCCCCGAGAGTTTGCTTTAGCCTCTTGTGAAGGAATGTATTTGACATCAGACTCAGAAGACTGGATTTAGAGCTGGCTAGAGTGGGATATATTTGTAATCCCAGCATGTAGTGGAGGGCAAGCAAGGACTTTATGAGCTTGAGGCCAGCCATGGTCTATAGTAAGATCTATGTTGAATGAATGAAATAGTGAATGAATAAGGATGAGAATATTGCCTTAGAGGGCTGGAGAGGTGGCTAGGAGCTAAGAGCATGGACTACTCTTACAGAGAACCCAGGTTCAATTCCCAGGACCCACAGATTGGCTCACAGTTGTCTGTAACTCCAGTTCTAAGGGACCCAGCCCCCTTCCACAGACATACATGCAGGCGAAACACCAATGCACATAAAAATACAAATAATAAATAAATTATGTTTTAAACAAAGAATATTGCCTTAGGGAAAAAGAAACTTAAATTATCAATCCAAAACAACATATATGTGTTTTAATAGCTCAGAGGCAATTTCTTTTTTAAAATTTGTGAATGGCTCATAAGTATCTTTGTGGTAAAATTCGCCAGGCAAAGAAACACACCTAGATATCCTATAACTGGTGCCTTCATGCCTTCATCCAAAGGGGTGTGGACTGGACTTTGAGGCCGGATGTGGAAGGATAGATTCTGCTCAGGATCTTTGGAGCCTGCCACACAGGAAGACGTGTCCTCATCCCATCGCTATCTTAAAGAACCTTTGTTAGTGTTGAGTTCTTGGAGGACTTTGGAGATCTGAGTAAAAATGTTCAAAACACAGAAGAACCTGGCTCTGTTGTCAATAGTCAGCCAAAGGGATGGTTTCTACGGAAACGTTTGAGCCTACCAGAAGGTGATTTCATTGAGGGGGACCCACAAAGGATACCACTACAATCATTTCACCTTATATTATCCCACTGTAGCAACTTGAATTGTACAGGGAACAACACTTTTGGGGTAAAGGGGGAAAACTAAAGAATACCCAAGTGTTGCAGGGTGCATGTCAATAGGTTTCTTCTCTCCTCTACATTGTTCCTTTCTTTCTTCTTCCTTTTCGTGCTTCATCAAGAATTACCTTTTGTAATCTTCAACACCACCTGGTGACCTTCCTCCTACTGTCCTGTGTTTGAGGAAAGCCATGCTGTAGTTTTTCTTCTGGAACAGGAATTAGGATTTCCTTTAGAATGAAGGATGGTACCTCTTGGCTGCTCTGGATGCCAGGAGCACGTAGGCACAGCCAGCGGTGATGCGGGCATTAGCTACAAGGGAATGTCTTTATCTGTGTCTCCTTATGTTGAGCTCTTTCCTGCCTTCCCCATCATAGCACTCTGGAGTGAGGAGACAGGAAGTTGTTGGTACCCCTCAATCAGTCCTTGATTCTAGTAGTCCTTGTCCATTAACCGGGACTTAGGTCCCATCTCCTCCACCCCTAAACAAGGTCCACAGAGTGGCCCTCTTCACATCTTCTAAGTCCTCCCGTCCTTTTCTGCTTTCCCAGAATTCTCTTCTGCTTCTTTCAACACTGAAAATAGTCTTCATGTTGTCTTTCCACAAAGGCTTGGCTGCTGAAGCCACAACTGGATTTAGTTGAGTGGTTTGTTTATTTGAAGGCAGATGATGTGTAGGAGGTATGGAAGCATTTGCCGTGAGCCACACTGCTGAATCTCTTGATCTCCTTCAGACTAAGTCACCCCCACCCACAAAGTTATGGTGTTTCCATAAAAAGTAGCCAGATTTCGATCTGAAACTCCATTCTACCAGAACCTTGGGTTTGCTGAATCCATGAAAACAGCTTGTTACAAAGACCACACCCTTGCTTTGCACAGAACAAAGCACTTACCAACCAGAACAGATGGATCTCAGCTTTAAAACTAGCATGTCCCTATGCTGGGGTTAGTCTTCCCGTTTTTCTAGACTAGTCTTCACTCTTTCAGCTAGTCCATGGAAAAGGTCTCAGGAGTTAATTGCATGAGCTGGATTGGCCTTACGGAAGTTATTTTGGCAATGAAAATATAGGTTAATCCACTATTTCAAAGAAAGTCACAGAGTAAAAGCCACAAAGAGAACTCTAAAATAAGAAATGAAGAAACACTTTCTTTGCATAAAATCTTACAGATTGAAGATTAAAGTATTATTCTGTTATAATTAATGTTTGTAGTCTAACATTGATTGTGATACAACACATACAATGGGAATTTTGCCTATTTTATAGTGTTCAGTTTGATGGCATAAAGTAGATTTACATGGTTGTGTGAACATCACCATCTATCTATCTGGTGTGAGGGTAGAGACAAGGCCTTATATGGCCCAGGCTGACTTGTAACACACGCACATGCACACGCACACACACACACACGCACACACGCGCACACACACACACACGCACACGCACACACACGCACACACGCACACACACACACGCACACACGCACACACACACACACACGATGACCTTGAACTTCTAATCCTCCTGGCTCCACTACCTGAGTTCTGGGATTATAGATGTGACCAGAGTGCTGGGCTTCCAGGAACTCCTTTCAACTTCCCCACGTAAAACTGCAGGCATAACACACTGGCTCCCCATGCCCCTCCTCCTGGTTCCAACTCCACCATTCTTCTATTCTAAGTATTCATCGCAGTAGAGTTTCCTTGGAGCAAAGCAAGCTTCTCCTTCCACATTCTCACCCTCTCAGTTCTTGTCTTGCCCTTCCTCGGTTCTCCACTTGTCATAGGGCATGTAATCTGGAAGCTAGTTTAGCAGAGGAACATGGTTGGGTTCTTGTGTTTCATGCTTGTTAAATGTTTCCCCTGCATTGTTGTTAATACTTTTTCCCTTTTGTCTTTCTCTGTAGTTTTGAGTATTCGGGGAGCCCAAGAAGAGGAGCCCACAGACCCCCAGCTGATGCGACTGGACAACATGCTGCTAGCTGAGGGGGTGGCAGGGCCCGAGAAGGGAGGAGGCTCGGCAGCGGCGGCGGCAGCAGCGGCAGCTTCCGGGGGTGCAGGTTCAGACAACTCGGTGGAGCATTCTGATTACAGAGCCAAACTGTCACAGATCAGACAAATCTACCACACGGAGCTGGAGAAGTATGAGCAGGTAACCACACCCCTGCAGAATGGATCTCAGGGTGGCCCTTGGTCAAGGGCAGAACAAACTGTAGCCTACAGCTTGCTAACCTTCCTTGGTCCAGCCTTTCCCAGAGGTCAGGTATCGTCCTAGAGTCTTGAATCCCCTTAAGAACCTGGTCTTAACTATTGAAAGCCAAAGCCTTACATGGGCCAAGACACTAAACAACATGACATTATAAATGAAGACCTTAAGAAATATGCATGGCCAATGTGAGGAGTATCCTGTGCCAGGAAATCCAGAACATTTGTGGGATGTGGAATGTGTCCAGAGGGACTCCCCCGAGTGTGCGGGCCTTTCTCAGAGTTACAACCTGATGGCAGGGGCTTCTGGCTTCCTTTGGCCTCCACTTGTTTCTTTAAGGGATATTATTCTTCTGAATGCTCCAAGAATCCCATGGAAAGGGACACTTGAACCTGACCTTTAAACGCTGGCATCAGCTGACTCAAATGTGCTCTCTTCTTTATGTGTGATATGGTACACAGTTCTCTGCAGAGATAGTAGGTCATCTTAGGAGGCATCCTAGAGTCATACCAACCTCAACTCCAGCCCAAGCATTCTTTGACAGTGTCGTGGACCTGCATACTGTATCCTGAAGGAGCAGGCATTTGATAGAGAACTGTAGATTTATGATGGATATGATATCCTCTGATTCAGTGGCTTTGGGGCACAGATCGGTGTACAGAGATGAGGTACCTGGAAGATTACAAAGCTACCCCCTGTTAGGGAAATCCCCTTCTGTCCCCCTTACATTTGGAATTCTCTATCTGTGCTGTTTTTCCAACCATTGTGAACAATAGTTCTCTATCAGGAGTCCTTTATCATCTGACTTTAATTCATTTATTTAGCCAACAAATACATTTGTTGTCACCATTGGATTCTATACTGAACCCAGGTTCTATATGATTTTTTTCCCTTGAATTAGATTTTCTTTTACTATTTTTATGACCCAGAGAAGGAAAAAAAAAGCACTCAACTTATGACTGCCTAGGTAGGTGGCAAATGCAATCCTAATAGAAAATTTAAATTTTAAAATAAAAAAATGGACATTTTAAAATTTAAAGTGGAGAAAGTTTCATTATTGCTCTTCCATCCACCTGTGAAATGGAGGATACTCACAAAGTCCACTGTTTTATGCAGGGGATGCTGTGCCTCCTTACCTTAAGCGTCTTGAAATTCACCCATCAGACAGGTGTAGTCGAGAGCTGAAGGAAGGAAAATAAAAGTCAGCATGTTAAGAACTGTGAGTCATTGCCCTGTACCTTCTTGGAAAAGAACAAATGTTCTTGACACAATGTTAGCTCATGGAGACTTGCCTCGGGTCCCGGGGAAGATTGAGATAAATCCTGCCTAATCGAGGTGCTTTTCCCCACCTGGACCATCCTGGATCTGGACTCTGCCCTAATTTAGTTCGATAACGTCAGAAAGTGCATTTTCGGACTCTTCTTATGAAGAGCTCTGGATGGCCTCTCGGTTTCTCTCATTTGTGCTATTCTTACTTCACCTTCCTCAGGAAGCCTGGCCTCTGCCTAGAAACCTGCCTAGACCTGACGCCCAGACTAACTCATGTCAGATAAGCAAAGACTAAAAGGAACTCAGAATACAGCTTTCTTTAATCACACAACTGCAATGTGTGGTAGACTTGGAGGTGTTAAAAGATGGCTTTATTGTTACCTTGGAATGTAGATAGCAAGGAATTGATTTCTCCTTTGATAACCCTGTCCCTCATCCAAAAGGGGTGCCCGCTTGGGCAGCAGTAGTCCATTCCAATAGCATACTTACCGTTGCAAAGCATCAGGACCAATGCAATTGCCCTTGCTCTCCCATGCCATTTTGTTGTTGGATGCATCAGACCATTTGATGCAGGTGAGGAAGTGAGATGAAAGAGGTTAGACACATGTCTGCGGAATAGAGGTTGTCCTGGAGTCCTATTTTGACCCTGAGGCCAAGGGCTCTTATTAAAACTAGGCCTGACTTCATTTAGGAAAAAAGAAAGTATAGGCATTGGTCAATGATGAATAACAAATGTGTCTTTTGCCTCACTGGGCTGGACTTACTGGCACCAGGCTAGGGATATAAATGTTCTCTCTAGAAATTTCTCATAGATTCCTGCCTACTCTAAATCATAGAGATGTTGGAAGTGAAGAACTTAGGGGAAAGCCCCACGAGTATGCAGCAAATTATGCAAACGTAGCAGTGGTCGACTTGTCTTGTATATTTATTAGATTTAGGAAGGAAAGCATCATGTCTCCTTATTTATGTGGGCAGTTTCTGGGTAGAAGTGAATTCTGCTTAACACATTTTGGATGCTTAACAATTTATTAAAATTAGTTTGTTAATTATAATAAATAGCTACTTGTGAGGCTATGGCGCTGTTAACCTTTTAGCTGGTATGTTTGAGAGATCCATCTTCTTCATTTTTCTGCAACAGTTCCTCATGGGGGCTTTGTTAAAAGTAGGGAGCCTCAGTCAAGTAAAATGTCACCCTCCATGTTCGTAGTTGTTACTGTCAATTTTGCTGTCTTTGTTTTGTTCTTTGTATATTGATAACAGATAACCACACGATAATTAACTACCACCTCTTCCCTCTTCCCCAGCCCTCCAAATAAACCCAACTGAACAAGTTACTATTTTATCCCAAGTTTATTAAATAAGGAAGCTTCTAGAAGCTTTCATCTTTATTAAATGACAGTGATAAGAGATTTCTGTAGCAGATCATGTTGGTGGCTAAGATGGGTAAAAGCTGTCATATTCAAATTTAAAAACCATGGTATCAGAAAAACCGAATCTTATTCCAAGTGCTGTTTATAAAAATGGCCCTCTTGTTACTTGGAGGAGTTCATCTTTTATAAACAATGTCATTGGAGTATAAATCGCCAGTGCTGAACGGGGTGGAATAACTCAGTTCACAGCGAAGGGAGCTCTTGGATTCCTCTTACCTTTTGTGAAACTGGTACCACATTCAGTTGGAAGGAGACAGGAAGAAGATGGATTGTATAACATGCAGGATGTCAGCCAAAATCTGGACCTTTTGAGGTTCCCTATATGGGCTTCTCCTTAGTTTGCTGGGACTCCAGATACCCTTGGGCAGCCTACTTGGGAGATCTTTGTAGAGATCTCCCTGCCCCACAAAATGGCTCAAGCTCTTCATCATGGGTCCTTGTAATAGTCCATTATAGAATCCACAGAACCTCAAGGATTCTCTTCTGTTTTATCCTCAAATATATACCCCACTGCCACACAGTGAGCCCTTGACCTAATAGAAGCAACCCAGCTTCTGCCATTGTCATGGTGGGGAACTGAGGGGTCGTTGTAGACAGTTCAGGTCCTAGAAGAATCTGGACCATTATGTCCTGTCCATCCAAGACAAGCTCAGAAACCTGGAACCTCAGTTGTGTGTTCTCTCAGATGTTCAGCAGCTGCTTTGCTCCACCTCAGCAGAGGGTGGAAGGACTTCACTGTCCATTGCAAAACATAAAAGGCCCTGGAATAAAATGCCCCAGCTAAACACCAGATATTGTGAGTATTTTGATTCACTGTAATGAAACACATTATTATTAGCCAAGCACTGTAGCTTCCCAGCTGAGAACTGGTACATTTTTGACAAAACCTCCTAGCCTGCAGCTCCTGCTCCCTGCCAGTCCCCTAGAGGTGGGGATACTGCAGCCTAGCAGATTGCTTTGTTTCCTCAGAAAGATGGCTGTGGGCTTGCTAAGAACTGAGCCGTCTCTCTACCCTATGTCACAGGGACCTGGGAATCCCTGCTAGCTCACTGCCAGGTTTTAATTCCCCGTCGTTGTGGTACAGTTCAGAGCCTGGGTTTGGCTTGGGAATAGATTGTAACAAATTCATGCCTTGATAATACTTTTCTGAATGGAGAATGCTATGTAGACTCATTTGTGACTTTTTCTTCAGCATATTCCTACAGAACAGAAACGGGTGAGGGAGGGCATTTATTGTCACATTTATTTTGCCAAGACAGAAATGAAGCCTGCAGAAGTTTTCTCTATTAGGATATTATGGTGGATTCCTAAGTTACCTCTGTATTTATTTACATTTTATGTGTAAATGTTTTACCTGAATGTTTGTAAGTGCACCACACATACGCAGTGCCCAAGGAGGCCAGAAAAGTGTATCAGATCCTCTGGAACTGGAGCTACAGATGGTTGTGAGCTGCCATGTGGATGCTGAAACACTAAACCTAGGTCATCTGCGAACAGCAAATATTCTTAACTGCTGAATGATCTCTCCAGCCCCTAAGTTACCTATGTTTTGAAGCCATAATGAAGACACAGATTTGTTGGCTCATGTATGCATTGCACACATAGTAACTCTGCAGGTCTCTGCTGCATCTTCTTAGGTTTGGCGATTATCATCCCAGCTTACAAAGAGAAAGAAATACAGACATATTAAAGAACTTCCCCAGATACCACTACTGAGTAAGTCCTGTAGGCAGGGACCCAGGCAGTCTGTCTCTCAGCCATGTCCTGGTCCATACAAATGATCGCCTCTATATTTAGATCTTTATGCACAAAAACATGGATACCATTTAGTGTGTTAGAGGATTGAAGAATAATTAAATCTCCCAGGTGGATAAAATGTGCCTTTTGATAATGCAAGAATTTGCATAAATATGCATAGGGGCAGGGTTCAAAGCAGACCTCCCACTGTGGAGTTCAGATGCCACCCTGTGGATGGCTCTCCCCATGTTCCTTTGGTCATCCAACCTCAAAGAATGCTTCAATAAATAATAGCCTGTGAGTGTGGGCTCCTGTTATTGCTACTGCATTATTGACACATGAAGAGCTTTATGTTATAAAAGCACAGTAATGCAATGTTGTCAGTAACAAGCATGTTTCTGCTCTTCATATTACACTTGGAGTCCTTGGAGTCCTCAGTTTGAAGTTCTCAAAGAGTCATCTTGCTATTTTCATTACAAATCTAATACAGTTTTACAGCATTGCTGCGAGTTAATCGGTGAATAGATATTTTATTGAGTGTTCAGCTAATGAAACTAGACTATGGGTGTTAAGTATTAATAACTGAAAGAGAAGGTAGCAGTTTTCTCAAAGAGTGAGTTCAGGCTCCGAATTCCCAGGCCCATAAATGATAGGAGGCATTTGGGTCACCCTTTGGTCCTTTCATGCTCCCGCGTGTCTCTGGGAAAATCCCTTCATCCCTCTTGAGCACAGTTTTCCCTACTGGAAAATAAAGAAGTGGAACTTAGATTTCCACTTTGACTCCCATGGCTGTCTACTCCTACAAGGGTTGTTGCTAGACCCTCTAAATCACATTGGGCGCTCAGTTTCTAAGTTTCATGGGGATAGATTCCCCTGTGTTGTAGACCAGCCACAGGGGTGTTGTGGCTTCTTTAGATAAAACTCAAAGCCAACTAGTGAGAAATCTCTTGTAAGACTTGCCAGAGCTTTTTATTTTGTGGTTCTACTTAAACTCTTGGCTGTTTACATATCCCAAAATTGAATATTTGGAAGCCCTACCATGTCAGGGATAATGAGCAAGGCAGAGAAAGCTCGTGATGTATTTGACCCCAAGTCTCTCGGCTCTTAACGTAGGGGCAAAAGGCAGGGATGAGATGTTAAATTATCACCCCTTTCACTGTCATAAAATCATAGGGAAAATGTTAAAATGATTCAGAATTTTATTTTCCCCTTAAGAAGTTGAAGCCAGAGCCAAAATGTAGAACTAGAGACACTGGGAAGAAAAGGAATTTCTAGACAATCATTTATTCTAACTATCAAATTTGATAAAATGCCACAAAATCTTCTAGCTTTTTTTACTCGTACAAGTCTTTAGAAAGCACCCCAGCCACATAGTGTGAACTCTGCTTCCTAAGCCATGAACTTCAGCTCACCCGTGTTCACTGTGTTGCCACACAGGCATGCAATGAATTCACCACCCACGTGATGAACCTCCTTCGAGAGCAAAGCCGGACCAGGCCCATCTCCCCAAAGGAGATCGAGAGAATGGTCAGCATCATCCACCGCAAGTTCAGCTCCATCCAGATGCAGCTCAAGCAGAGCACGTGTGAAGCAGTCATGATCCTGCGCTCCCGGTTTCTGGATGCGAGGTGAGTCTCTGGGTTGTCTTGAAAGGTTACTAGGAGCACCTTTAAAGAGAAACACGATGCAACAGGGTAGGGGGTCGTGAGTTGGCCCTCTCTGATGCTCTAATTCTACTACATTGGATGCTGAGCCAAATACTAGTCTTAGAGAAGTCCTAAGGTTTGAGGAACACAGGCTGGGAGACAGGATATGGCACTGGAAAAAAAATCCATGATTGCAGGAGATAATGTTTATCGCTATTGCTATTCCACTCTGGGTGAGCAGCACTGGTGACAATGAGAGGTTAGGCAGAATTTTTTGTTGTTGTTGTTTACACAGCACTGTTTCCTTGTCTTACAGGGACAGATCATAGCTATATGCTCATTGTCACTTTACCAGCAGACCATGGTGACACTTCCTCCAAGAGGGCTGGATCTAAGTGCTTGAAAGCTGGGGTCTTTCCCAAGTGTATAGACAATGTACTCCATTGAATTTAAGAAATATTTCTTAGTAGATTACCACTTTACTGTGGGCTGCTTAAGAAGTCCAAAGTTGAGCACCACTTGCTTCTCTAAGCATAGAGGCAAGAAGACGGCTTGATAGTGACTCTGATGGTTGGTTTGATGTTTCCTGTGAATCTCACGACCTGACCTTACTTATGAATTCAAAAGATTTGTTTGACAAAAACAGGGCTAGAATGGTCCTTTTAAAAAAGCATGAGAACTGAAAACAAAAGACTAAGAACCAGTTCTTAATTCTTCTACTCTGTAGACCAGTGGGTTTACTTGAGCCCTTGGTTTCTCTTCTCAAACCTCAGAGAGAGTAATAATCAGATTTTACCTTTATCTAGAAGATTTTGGGCGACTAACCTAGCAAATGCTTCTTATAGTGTAGGTATACCTTGCAATCCACAGTTCATCTTGAATTAGTCATCTTTTGTACGGTACAATTCCTGAAAACATTCCTAGGGTAAGACTTTTATTACCGAATGTTAGGATGTCATGGTCAGCATGCTATTTCACGAAGTATATAGTTTTGTTCCTTTTGAATCAGACTGAAAGATTCATGGCTATTCCAGGATTGCTTCCCTCTCTGATATCATGCATTATTCAGCTCTCCAACCTGCATTTTTCTCTCTCTTCACAGTGCTAGTCTTTTGTGGTCTATGGACCTATTTAAAAGTCCCCAGCATCTTCTCCCACCTCCCCCTTCCATTGTGTTTTTGGATTGCATGAGATACAAAATGAGAATGCCAGCCTGCAAGATACACCTCTAGGTTAATAGAATCCCACAGTCAAGAGAAGGTAAAAGGGGGGATGAGGCGGGAGAGATGGCTTGGCGATTAAGATCATAAACTGCCTCAGCAGAGGATCTGAGTTCAGTTCCCAGTATGTACATCAAGGGCAGCTTGTAAACACCCATAATTTAAGCTGCAGGGGAGCCAAAGCCCTCCTCTTACTGCCACAGGCACACAGACACTACAGTCAGTCATATGTATACCCCACCCCAACATATACATATACTCAAAATTAAAATTAAATCTTAAAAAAAAAAGGAAGGCTTCCTGACTGGGTATAGGGATATAATAGCAGGCAAAATCAACCCCCCCCCCCAGCAGAACCCTCTGCCCCTCTTGCCCGGTGGCCTGCTGCCAATCTGCTTTCTCTAAGACAGCCATTCTGCACAATGTGAGTGGCTGGTGGCTTCTGTCTTGGTCCTTCTTCTGTGTCGCAGTCACCACCAGGCTGCCTGTGTTGCTTACATCCCCATGGTAACTTCTTAGTTAAAATGCTGCGGTTGCTATTTACGCTGGCAAAGCCTGTGGGGGTGGGGGTTTAAAAAATGAAAGAAAGAGAAGAAGAAAGGGAAAGAAAGGTTGGGCAGACTATTATTTGTTTGTTTGGTTGGTTGGTTAGGTTTTTGTTTGTTTTTATTTTGTTGTTGTTGTTGAAGAGAGAAAATGTAGAAATGATCAAAACAGAACCATTGTCCATATGGATATCTCTTTTCGTCCCTCTCATTTCGCCCACTGGAAATTCAGATTCTAAAAGGACACAGGGCTATATGTGTTTGTACACACTTCTTTTCTTTTCACTGGATTCTTCCTTTTGGAACCAGAGGGCAGTCACTCTAAGGCAGGGTCTCTTTCTTACTTGAATAAGAAACCTTCAAATCACCACATCTTAACAAAAATTCAAAACAGAAGCAGCTGCCCTATAATCACTAGTGGTCTCATCTCTTTGTATGGCTGTATCTGTCAGAAAAATGTCACCCCAAATGCCGGCCTGGGGTGAAACAAATGACTTCCCCAGCTCGTAAATATATGCTTGCCCAAATTTCCTGGTCAGGGAACTTACCTAATCTCGTACCAGTAATTGTAGAACAGAGCTAAACCAACCTTCATGAGAAGAGACATTCAGTACTTGGTATGGGTTTTCATGTGCCCCCTCATCTTACCCCCCCCAACCGTGCATCGGATGGGCAGGGCCTCATCAAATAAGATTTCATGGAAGACAAATGGAATACAAAGAGGACTTGATTCAGTAATGGGATTAGTCTTTGTGACCTAATAGGTGTGTAGACATGAATGTTACTCTCCTTTATGATGGGACATGCCTCCTATTAGCTTTCAATGGCTGTGTTCAGATTACCACACATTTAGCAGTTTAAAACTGTATACATTTATTGTCTTGCAGTTCCTGTTGGCCTACAGTTTGGGCATAGCTCAGCTAGGTCCTCACAAAAGCTTCCACCAAGGTATCTACAGAGGCTGTGGCTACATCTGAAGTGCACATGCAATAAACTCCCTGTTCTCTGTGGTATTTAGAGAGGTTTGGTTGGTGGAGGCCACACCTCTCTAGAAGCATTTCACAATCTGACTGCCTGCTTTCTTCCTGATGGCCTGCAAGACAAACTCTCCTTGTTAAAGCTTTGACCTAGTCACAAGGTGAGACCCCATTGTGGTCACCATCACAGTCACTTAAAGGAGAAGGTATCATACCCAGCAGGCTCAGCGGCCTTAGAGTCCCACTCACTGGTCATCTCAGCTGAGCTCTTGGCCCAGATATCAGCAACTCAGGTTATAGCTTTTCTCTTTACCTCACATTGATGGAAGTATGCCAGCAAGGTTGGACTCCAAAACCATTCATTCATTCATCATCCCCTACTATGTATCTCATACTGTGTGCTCTCCATCTTGGTTAGTTTATTCAGTATTACACATTGGGTTTCTCTGAAAGAGACTGGAAGGGGGAGCTTTTAAACATTTAGTAGTTTTGAAGCAATAATTTAAAAAGTTTTTCTTCCAATTGTACTTGGTTGGAGTTTGCAATAGTAGTGAAGGTGCTTAGAGATGCACCCCTGGACTGTTCTGAGTTACCAAAATCAGGTCCAAAGCAAAGGAAAAGACATCAGTAAAGCAAAGGAAGACTGACCTGATATTCAGTTATTTATTTATCTAATTAGACTCTAATTAGATGGTGTTTTAGCTACTAGAATAGCAAATATAATATATGAATATGGGTCCTACATTTTCATAGCTCATGATCTCATAGGCACACCCTTACAGATAAACATAGAACTGCATGTTATCCCTACGGAATCTACCTACCAACTCCATCAAAAGGGAGAAAATCCAGGAAACTGAAGACATCTTGCATTTCAAAAGAGAAATGTTACTGTATTGGGTAGCACAAACATAGAACATTCCATCATCACAAAAACACCACTTGACATCATTAGTGAGATAGATGGAGAAAGAGGAGCAACACAGAACTTCAGTAGTTTTAACTTCCCAAGGGCTTACTGTGTGTGAGACACAAGGTTTCAAGTATGAGTGAGATATAGCTCCTGCCCTTTAGGACTTTGCATTTTAGTTGCAGACGTGTAAGCTGTGGCAAACACTGTGAAAGAGAAACATACCGGGCTGTCTAAAGAGGTAGAAGAACCTACCTGCAAGCCATCATTGATTAATGATGACATATATGATGTTGCTGGATAAAATGATTTAACTATGTATAGAGTTGAGGAAAATGAGAGCCAAAGAGTAGGATAGACCCACTGGAGACCTTAGCTGTACCGGGAAATTTTGAACCCCTCTTTTTAAGTAGCAGTGTCATTTAGAGAAGGGTTATGAGAAAGTGTTGTATAAACTCTGTAATTCCACTGGATTCAACCTCCAGCTATAGTGTAAATGGCCCATGTGATCATGGACAAGTGGCTTATAAATGGGGATGATTCTGTACATGAGAACATGTAAGATAATATGAAAAATAAATATAGTATCTGGCACATAATACTCATTCTGTAATTTCAGTATAGTGCTCATAGGAATCCCCAGGCCACCCATTGTGTATATTTGTATTTAACAAATTTCAATATTATCATCTTAAAATATGACTAAATATAACTTATCTAATGATATGATATGTTTATATATAACTTTTAGTATATATTGCCCATTTTATATCTTTATGGTATCAGAAGAGAGAGTGTTGGTTTAGGAAGGTTGCTGTAGTGATTCTGCTGAGGTTGTGCTAACCTGGAAATGTCTAAAGTGAGCCACTGCTGACCTCTCTGGCTCTCAGACTGGGTCAGCACAGACAGAGGAAGAAATACAGTCCACAGGGATTTGTTCTTGTTTGAAGATAAAAATGGCTGCCTTACAGAGTAAAATCAAACATTGACTTTCATGGTCATCCAGTGTTTCTGTACTCTCCTAAACTCCTCTCTCTTCCATGATGGTGGTGTGAGCCTGGTTTTTGGCAACATCTATCTAAAGGTACATGTATAGCTTATGGCCATTTGGCTCTGAATTAAAATATAAAATCAGGATGCTAACTTTAAAAAATGTTCTTCAGCTGTACTAGCCACATATCAGCTGCATGGTAGCCTCAGGTCACTATGGCTACTGTATTGGGTAACACAAACATAGAACATTCCATCATCACAAAAACACCACTTGACATCAGTAGTCAGCAGCGCTCGGATACACACTGGCTCATCTAAAACATTCAAAAATAGCAGTGACATCAGGAGTGGATCAAAGGGATAGATGTGAAAGGCAGCTCTGTGGGGCCATGACCAGATGAGGGTCATTCAGCAAGAGGGAATCTCTGCTTCTCCTTATCATGGTTCTTTTAGAAAAGAAAAAGGGAAAAAAAAAAGTTTCCCATGGGCCACAACCAGACAGGAATCTGTCTTTAAAATGCTGTAATAGTCTATGAGGATCCACGTTTTCTTATATTAAAAGCCAAGATCCTGGTGGAGAGAGGTGGGCAAACAATTAAAAATACTTCCTGCTCTTCCTTAGGATCCATGTTGGATCCCAGCACCATTTCTAGACTTAGAATTGTCTATAAACATCTGTAACAGGAGATCCGATACCCTCTTCTGCTAGTACATACACATGGTGCACAGACATATGCAGGCAAACTGCCTATACACTATAACTCTCTCTCTCTCTCTCTCTCTCTCTCTCTCTCTCTCTCTCTCTCTCTCTCTCTCTCTCTCTCTCTCTCTCTTTCGTGATCACTGCTTCTGATTGGTTCTGATTGACTGGAGATTTCAAATGTTAACCCACAAGCCAGTACCACTAAAACAAGGAAAACAGTTGTCTCTACTCTCAACCTTACCTTCACACACAAATTATTTTCACTACCTTTCCTAAAGCTCTGAAGAAACCTGATTATGGAATTTCAGAGACAGATTAAGACAGCTACTGAGAGAAGAGATAAGTGAGTCCACCGGAGTATAAGAGACCACCTAGGGATAGTCTCGCATCAGGATGACACCCAGAGAGCCAGAAACAGCTGTCTGCACCATCCCTACACCATGAGCTCATTCCAGAGGGTTATCCTTTGAGCTCAGTTGGAAGGCTCCCAAAAAATACACTGTAATGCTAATTGCAAAAAATGGGCTGAAGGATTGGGGTTCTTCCAGCCACAGAAGCATTCCAGGTCCAGTTCACCAGGCCTAAAATAACTATCTGTAAGAAAAACAGTGAGAAGTTCTTTAAAGGCAAACCCAGAGAGGGCACATTAACCACTGGGCCATCTTCCTCAAATTTCCTTCAGGCAAGGACTTCCCACACATGCCTCATTTTTCTTTGGGCTTCTACATCCAATCTGTCCAATTTCTGATGCTGGATGACCCGGAAACTCAGCATGATGTGTGAGAGTGACTTGGGCTTGGCATAATCTGGACAGATGTGGTTGGTACCTGTGGGCAGATGGTGTACATCCGGTAAAATCAGGTACTTTATTGCGTTAATTAATCCAAGAGGGACCCTGGAAAATACAATATTAGCTGAATTTCTAGTCTAGCAAGGCCACCAGTGCTTTCTGTTGGCTAAATTTGGAAAGTCTTATGTCCTGGCGTAACCAAAGATGTTCTGGCTTTCCCTTGAGGAACAGCTTTGACAAAAGCAAGACAGGTAAATGTGCTAATAGAGGGAATTTAAAGATGAAGGCTTTACCCACTTCAAAGAGGGGGATCCAGGCCTACAAAGAGCCCAGAATCTTCTAAGAGACTATCCAGCTATCCATAGGCCTTAGTAGTAAGAAAGCCATAAAGTGATTCTCCCTTGAAATTTGTTCAATTAGCACTCTTTACTTTTCAGGCAGAAAAGTGCTTTTATGAAAAGAAAAATGGTCTTCTTCCTTTTGGCAACCTATGTATGAGGGAGAATCTGTGAGCTTTTGTTTTACCATTTAGCAGCTGTTGCTGCTGAAGAAATGCCATCTCTCTCTGGTTGAGGGATGTCAGGGGGTTAATCTCAGTCAGTTTCTTGCCCTCTTCCCCAGATGGCTTTTTAAACTGTTGGATGCATTGGCATGGGGATAGAAAAGAGAGAAAATGATAACTTATTTTTAACTCAGGGCTAACAGATCCTCTGTGTCTCTGCCAGGAGGCAGTGTATACAGACGGAAGAGACTGGGTTTGATGCCAGGCAGACCTGAGCTATCTCTGTAGCATACCTGCTGAGTGACTTAGAACACCATACTTCATCTTTAAATGGGAATAACCCCACAAGTGAACAGCTTGAGTTCATTCCCATGAAGGAAAGGTTTGGAGTGCAACCTCTGAGTTTGGAGTTTGTCCGGTGTCAAATGTTTCACTGAGTACACACTTTGTATGGTCCTTGTGCACTACCGAGGAGCTTTTTACATTCAGTTGAAGAAGCCTATCCTTAGGGAGAGCCCAACACAGTCACCGAGGTGATATCTAGCAGCTCTCGGGTTCAAAGCCAAGGTGGCTGAATGTACAGCTATGCTTGGTTCTCTTCTCCAGTGCATGTGAAATACAGAAGCATCATGCTTAGTGGTTTGGGCATCTAGCCCCCTTTGCAAATTGCCTTGAACTTACCCTTTGCCCAAATATGTATCTTACAGAAGTAGATCTTTCTCTGTTTATCTAACATGGCATTTCTTATCCCTCTCCCTTTCTCCTTATGAAGGCGGAAGAGACGGAATTTCAACAAGCAAGCCACAGAAATTCTGAATGAATATTTCTATTCCCATCTCAGCAACCCTTACCCCAGTGAGGAAGCCAAAGAGGAATTAGCCAAGAAGTGTGGCATCACAGTCTCCCAGGTGAGGAACCTCTGGAAGAGCCAGCTTGTTACCTGGTCTGATGGACCCTCATGACAGGGTCTTGGAGGTTTTTATTGGACATTCAGGTTTTGTACAATCCACCAGTGAAAGCCTTAAAGGGACAAGGTAAGCTCGGAATGCTTGTGAGATGGTTTCCAGGTAAGTCCACAAGTCCAAAGGAAACCAACCAAAGGAAGAGAAAAGTTACAAAGCAGTGCATGAGGAGGCATGAGGCTCCCTCTGCATGGGTGTCTTAAGAGTTTCTGTTGCTGTGAAGAGACACCAGGACCACAGCAACTCTTATACAGGAAAACATTTAATTGGGCTAGCTTTCAGTTTCAAAGGTTTAGTCCATTGTCATCATAGTGGGAAACATGGTGGCATGCAGGCAGGCATAATGCTGGAGAAGTAGCTGAGAGTTCTACATCTTGATCTGCAGGCAACAGGAAGTGAACTGAATGTAGACTGAGCAAAGGAGAGCTCAAAGCCTACCCTCACAGTGACACACTTCCCCCTACAAGGCCACACCCACTCTAACAAAGCCACACCTCCTAGTAGTAACACTCCCATTGAGGATCATTTTCTTTCAAAACACCATAATGGCTAATATTTATTACACAGTGCCTGAACCATCCATGCTGTTTCTTCCAACTTAGGCAATTCCTTAGCATTTTCCTCCCAGTGAATCAAACTATTTGAATAAAAGGATTGTAAATGCTTTCTCTTGACGTTCTAACTCTACAACTACCAACTGATTGGGAGAAGGATTTTAGCATGCCACTCTGATTGCATTGGAATGGTTTCACAAAATGTCACTGAGTACCCCTTTCTTCCAACTTGCATTAACTGTAACAGGTGCCTACTGACTTGGAAAGATACGTGATGCAAAAATTATATAGATGTGGAATCTCTAACATTAATGTAAAAAGAAAAGCAAGCAGTATTATTATCGAACCTTTGCCTCAGAATAAAAAAGTGTAAGAAAAATAATATACTTCCCTAGATTTGAAAAGTAGACTTCCTTACAGTAGTGACTGTCCTTGGAAAGATCCACTTAGGTAACACATAATGCATATAGACCTTTTAATTCAGGCCTGTGGTGTGGCATCTCTGGCCTAGCTGAAGGTCATTTTCAGTATTAATAGTTAAGGAAAGTAGGACCCAGATATTCAAACTCAAGTAGCCTAGCCTTGTGTTTTTCTAGGGATGTTACCATTTTTGTCTATATTTAGATCTCTTGTTAATAGAAGTCAAGGGGGTTAGGGAGTTGGGGGGAGATGATGGTCTTTGCTACTGGTGGAATATCTGAGGAATGGTTTTGAGGCATGAACCACACCACTATGTCATAGATTAGTAGGTTTAGTCTTCTGCTTCCAAGTAGAGTTAAACCACTCCATGGACTGAATCTGAAGTTCATGATTCCAGATTTCAAAGTTATCTAGAAAGGACGAAGAACATTTCCAGAGCCAATAACTTATTTTTAACTCAGGGCTAACAGATCCTCTGTGTCTCTGCCAGGAGGCAGTGTATACAGACGGAAGAGACTGGGAAGATCACAGCTAATGGTCCTGGCCTGCTCTAACAACCTTTACCTTCTTCATCATGGAAACTAAAGTGTTGAATATTCTGTTCAGCAAAGAATTATTTATACACTATGTCTTCTTTCTCCTTCTCCCCTCTATCCTAAGGCCATGCCAGTTTCTCTGTCTCTCTGTCTCTCTGTCTCTCTGTCTCTCTGTCTCTCTCTCTCTCTCTCTCTCTCTCTCTCTCTCTCTCTCTCTCTCTCTCTCTCACACGCGCACACACACACACACACACACACACACACACACACACACACACACACGCACACACAGACATCATCACCATTACCACTACTTCAATAATAATAATAATAGCAATAGTCATGCAATCTGCTCCACATTGCCAAGCAAATCCTGGTGGGAAACAACAAGGTACCATTTGTAGAGTAATAGGATGGGAGCCCTTTTTTTGGTAAGGGTCGGTGTGTGATTCTTGGGGATTCAGTATTACTTTTGAAGAATTTTCATGATATCACTTACCTATTGTGGCTTGTTGGAACATACATATTAAAGTTGTGTCTGTTTCTCAGTGAAGTATTAAGTTTCTTTATGGGGTGGAAGCTCAATAATCACCCTTTTTAGCATTAGACTCATAGGATCCATCTATCCATCCTTGGTTTCTTGGTACCATTATCCTAAGGCTTCATCTTTTCCCCTGAGCCTTCTCCACTCCATCTTTTGAAGTCTACTCACTTCTATTCTAAGTTTTCGTCAGTACGTACTCCAGTCAGTGGGCCTTAATCATCCATTTTCAGTTACAATTTCTTTTGACATGTACTAAAAAGCTATTGGTTTCTCTCATGACCCCCAACAAAAATAGGCTCATATACCTAAATCCATGTGAAATGCCTCTAATAACTATCTTCTCCCTAGGGTCCCCAAAGGGCCCTCCTTCCATATGAGTGCTATTCAGAGTGTGGTGTAGTTGTTTGTTTGTTTGTTTGTTTGTTACTCTTTGGGGGCCCATCACCCAGCTCCCAAATAAATACATGGAGACTTATTCTTACTTATTACTGCCGAACCTTAGCTTTGCTTTTCTTAAGTTATCCATCTACCTTTTGCCTCTGGGCTTTTACCTTTCTCTATTCTGTATACCTTTCTGTACTTCTTACTCCATGACTGGATGGGTGGCTGGGTGGCTGGCCCCTGGTGTGCTTCTCTCCTTTTCCTTTTCTAGCTTATCTCTCTTCTTGTTCTTCTAATTATTCACTCTGCCTGGCAGCCCCACCTATCCGTCTTCTGCCTAGCTATTGGCATTTCAGCTCTTTATTAGACCAATCAGGTGTTTTAGAAAGGCAAAGTAACACAGCTTTACAGATTTAAACAAAAGCAACACAAAAGAATGCAACACATCTTTGCATCACTAAACAAATATTCTGCAGCATAAACCAATGTAACACATCTTCAACTAAAATTTCACAACAGTGTGGCCCTCAGGCAGTAGCAGCAGCAGCAGCAACAGCACATCACCTGGGAGCTGTGAGAAGTACAGACTCTTGAGTCTTATACCTGCCCTATATCCAAATCTTTGAGAGTAGGTCCCGGAATCTGTTTTCACAAGCCATCTGTGAATACTTAAGTCTGAAAAGCACCATTCCACACACTCCCAGCTACAAATGTAACTCCATTTGAGTATCCAGATGGGGCTTTCGTCCTGGAACACTAAACTCATGTATCTCACTTCCCACTGGATTTTGCCATGGCTCTACCCATAGGCTCTTGAAACATAACATGCTTGAGATGTAAATCAAACACTCCCCAAAAAACCTATTATTCTTTCAGCTTTGCCTGACTCATGCCACCACATCCATATGCATCCCTAGTGCTTGGCACATATTAGGTTTTTAGTCGATGATAGTTGAGTATTAATTAATGAAACACCGACTCTCCATATTATCTGAGATAGATGATACTACTGTGTAGACACAGTGGGAAATGCCGGAGCCTACCAACATCTTCTCGATCCCATCTCTTCTCATGTAAACAGGAAATCTTTCCCACAACAAATCCTTCACACAGTTCTTTGTTTCTTGTTTGTCCACATAAGCCAGTACTGGACCTGGGTCATTTCCTTTCTTCCTGGAAGGTCCTCCTAAACTATCTTCATCTTTCCCTCTTTTTTTCAGTTGCTGTTATAAAAAAAAAAAGTCTCTACCTTTTCCTTCCTTCCCTGTTGCACACAGAAATCAATAAGCAATGATAATTATGATTGATTCATATGAACAGTGAAACTTAGACCAGGAGGAAAAATTTGAATTTCAAAGTGCAGTTAGACATGGCATGTTCCTGAATTGTTCTTAGAGGCACCCTTCCTCCTCCAGTTTAGCTCTGCTTTTCTGTATTTACAACAAATAAAACATCTATTATTGAATTTTTTCTCTCTTATTTACTAGTATTGCACTGGTATAGCTTGATCTTTGTAATAAAGACTTGGCATTTCTGATACAGTATAAGCCACACAGGCCTTTGATTGTTAGCTAGCCTGATAAGATGTGTTAGCTTTGTAAATGCCTTCCAAAATAAGTGTAATTTTACCTTACAGTTTCTTTATCTGCCATTGCTGATGGTAGGTTGAGTGTGAATTATCTATGAGGTATATTTGTTAAATGTGTGATCAATTTGCTCCTTCTCATAAGTTTTCATAGTTTGTTTTGTAATTAAATAAAAGTCACAATACTGTAATCCAAAATCACAATGAAATATGGGGTATTTTTAGACGCTCCTCCCCGAGGCAGAACTTGTGGGGTGAATGTCAATATATGCCCAACTCCTTTGTGGTAGAAGTCTTTGTATAACTGGGGAAGAAGTGCCAACTTGAGCCAAGACAGCTGCTGTGAGCCACAGGAAGGAAATCAATGAACAAAAGAAAGTAAATTAGGTTTATTATGTTCATTGGCTTTAACATTTAAAAGCAGGAATTCAAAGTCATAATTAGTTGTATGCATCAGTTGTTGGTTTTTTCCATACATAAGACCAACCTTTATACAAGATGGTGGGTGACTTGATATTGATAAAGCCTATAGCACAATACAGCTAAGAATCAAAGTTCATATTAAGGTCATTTAACTTCTAAAAATTTCAAATTAAATGAATTCATGGAAGCATCCATATGTTGGCATAGATTTGTGTGGATATTTTAAAGGTCTGTGTATTCTGATTGTGCAGTGTCAGCTTTAGCATTGCTTTGAAAAAGAACAAACACTTCTCCTAATATGCTTATTTAAATGTCATAAATTAGGAAATAAGCAAATTGAAAAATACTTGTTCTAAATCGAGAGTCCTAGATTCAGCAAGCAAGTCTTCCCTAGTAGAGTTGCTGTCACAGTGATCTTGTGGGATTTTAGAGAACCCATTTTAGATCATTAGATCATTGCTCTTTTTGAGGCTCTTACTTTACTTCAGGGCTCTTAATTAATATTACAAAGGTCATAAGTAAGGTCAGAGTATTCCAGCCGTGAATCCGACACTACCCCCATCCTTTCCCAGACCCCTCTATTTCTCTGCCATGTCTTCTGAAGGGTGAAATGCTAATTCTCTCATCTACTCTCCTGCTGTTGTTCTAGGTATCAAACTGGTTTGGAAATAAGCGAATCCGGTACAAGAAGAACATAGGTAAATTTCAAGAGGAAGCCAATATTTATGCTGCCAAAACGGCTGTCACTGCCACCAATGTGTCAGCCCATGGAAGCCAAGCTAACTCGCCCTCCACTCCCAACTCAGCGGGTTAGTTTCTTCTTTCATTTGGGGGGATTGTTCTCCATTTGTATATTTGTTTTTTGTACTTTGAGACTTTATTTTAATTCTTACAGTTTTTGCTTCATCAATTTGTACATCTAATTAACATTTGTTGTCAGTGACACTTTTGGGTTCTTCTTGTCATATCCAAAGGGCAATGTGTTTATAAGATGGGACTGTCTGCAAGTTTGTGTTGTAATGCATTTGTTTATCTTAAAATGGAGGTACATTGTTTGGTTTTAATGAGTCCTCTAAATTCGCAGATCAAACTTAATACTTGGAGATGGTTCCTTTGGGTTCTCATATGATATTTTCCTCCTCGTCTATCTTGCTGTCCCCATGGTATAATGTCTGGGTCATCTGCTGTCATACATTCTGTGGAGGAATGTATGACATTCCTTCACTCTTCTAACTAAGATCTCATTAGCCAATTCCAGTCTGCAGAGCCAGGCTGCAATATTTCCTAGGTGCTGTTTATCAATACTGTTCCCTATTGTTTTATTTTATTGGTTTTCTTTATGTAAACTGTGAGGAAAATCACAAGCTGTTGGTTCAGACCTTCCAGACTCCAGGGTTCATATTATAATCTCAATCATGCACCCTGGTTCTAAGTTTTATTTTCACAAACATGCATTGTCCACTAAATTCAGACTTTAGGCTGACATAGAAGTACATTTTGGGACATGCCCTGTGCTGTCACTTCTGTATTTCCATGATTCCAATAAAAACTCAGTGTTTGCTGTAGAAAATGTGTTGATACTTCTAGTGAAGGGGATACAGGAAAAACAAACATTTCCTTATGAAATGTGTTTAGTTCCAGAAGTCATCCTTCTCCATAACAGACAAAATACATTTATTATGAATGTGGAGTGCCTTCTAGCAAATCTAAACATATCGACTCATAATATGGTTGCAAATCTGGGATTTCTGAGATTTCTATGACTTCATGATATCATGACTTCACCCTCACAGTCTAGTTGTTCCCTAAAGAGGTTCTTCCTGCCATAGGCTGCCTTTGTAACTGGAGACCTGTTGGACCCCACTCACTCTTCTTCTGTGAGCTTCTCTTTGCACGAAATCCTGGGCTATAATTACCAGGCCCTTCTTTTGTTTAATTAGAACCATGCATGAAGAGAGCCCTTGGCTTTGTAAACATTGCCACCATAGAACACTGTTAAATTTGATCCAGTTTGATGTTTCTCGGACATGTAGGTTGGCCTACCCTGAAGAACACATTTGCTTTTAAAAGTTCTGTTGTTTTGTTGTTGTTGTTGTTGGCCGTTGTTGTTCTTCCTCATCATGGCATGATTGATAAAAGATCCAGGCTAACAGGTTCAATAACCACTGTTTCCTCTTTCCCTATCGGGTCGATTATTAAAGATTTCATACCAAGCATCACAAGGTGAACTGCACTGCTAGGCAGGCATTCTCACTTATCTCTTTGGAAGAAGTATAATTCTGTCAATATTAGCAAAAATGCACTCAACACTCCTGCAGAGGTTATCATAATGCAAAACAGATATCAAAATGACTTTTTTCCCTGTCCCTGCTATATCTGCACCACAGATGGCTTAGCATGATTTATGACTAGTCCTTAGAAAGGCCCTGTGGGCTCCCTTCATTACTAAATCCATAACTATTTTTCTTTCCTAAAGCCCTTAAAAAGAGAAAAGTAAGCATTTTAGCCCCCACTCTGTGTTTAAGAATTATGTTGGCTCTTATAGAATGTCAGTCTGATTACAGTTTTCTAAGGAATTTTCTGGTGGCTTAAACTTCATCTGACTATTCTGAGCACAAAGTACATTATTATGGAAAACTTGAGCTAAGCCTTCCAGTTGTGCCTAAGTTGTTGGAAATAATTTGCAGAGGAACCCTTTGAAATGTTCTCTTTCTAATACAGAGACCAAAGAAAACGCTATTGTGGATGTGCAATAGCATGGAATTTTAAAAGATAAATGTCTTAACAGGAAAAGTTATAAATGGGCTTTTCTGTATTTTCTACAGCTTTTAACAGCCTAAATTATGGCCTAGATTGGAGGATAAGTGCTCAAACTTTTACATAGAGTGTTTATTACATTGTGTGCTGGCTCTTCGGTAATTTCAAAGGAGAAATGGTAATGGGAAGAGATTGTAAATAAGAGGTTAATATATGAAAAGGTATTTTGGTAGATTTTGAAGTCCCGGATTCTGGCACCCGGAACAGTTTTATATTCTCAACATGGAAATGAAAATTCTCCCAGAATCTTTGCTTAGTTTACATACTCATTTCCACTGCAAGAAAGACAGTACTGCAAATATATCCTCTTCCCTCCCCTGGCTTTTGTGTGGGGAATAGCACTTCAGGGTGGTAGCAAGACCTCACCTATAAAGCTCTGTTTCTTCAGTAGACTTTGCCTCTTTTTCTGTAGCCTCACTTCCTAGAAATCACTTAGAGCTAGGTTCTGTGGAGGAATTTGCAAGTGTAGAGAGACTTTTATCTACTTCATTGTCTTCCAGCAGAGGTGGGCAAAGCAGATGCAGCAATGGGGAAGAATGAAAGGAATCCAGTTGAGAGAAGGTGTGGGGGTGAGAGGACCAATTGACAGAATTGTAAAAACCCTTACCTGTAACTCAACTGGGGAAACCCCAAGTGATGAGCTCTCTATTTCCCATGTTTCAAAAGATTATAAAAGCATGACTTGAAGACTCAGAAAAGGGCAGACATTTTCTTAGAAGCAAGAATGGGACATGATTAAGTTTACATCTAGCCGGCGTTGGTGGCACATGCCTTTAATCCCAGCACTTGGGAGGCAGAGGCAGGCGGATCTCTGTGAGTTCGAGGCCAGCCTAGTCTCCAGAGAGAGTGCCAGGATAGACTCCAAAGCTACACAGAGAAACCCTGTCTCAAAAAAACAAAACAAAACAAAAACAAAACAAACAAACAAACAAAAAAAACGGTTACATCTAGTAAGAAGATCTGTCCTCTGTACTCTCAAGTTACATGGAAGTCTGGCTGAATCGGGCTGGCCACCTTATCCATGGGAAACTTTTTTTTTAGACTACAGAAATTAAAACAGTATTTACCAGGCAGCTGATTCATATTCATATTCATATATTTTGGAATATATATATATATGTATATATATGTATATATATCCAAAGAGAAGCCATGAACTCTCAGACATTTTGAGTTTCTTAAGACACACACTGTATCTTTGTTTTGGGTCATTGATTCTCAACTAGAGGTCAGTCTGTACCCCAGGAGACATTCAATAGTATCTGGAGATGGTTTTCATTGTCATCATCTTACAGGGTGTTACTGACATGAATAGATAGAGATGAAGAGCCACTTAACCATCCCACAAGGCATAATAAATTCCTCACAGCAAAGAATTATCCAGCCTAAAGTGTCAGTAATGCCAAGACTGGGAAACTGTGCTCTAGGTTTAGGTTTTATTATCTTTTATTATTAAATTAGTTGGGTATTATTGCATATTTTGGTTTTGTTTGGTTGTTTTGTTTTTCCAAACAAGGTTTAGACTCCTAAAGATTATTTGAAGTGAAAATACTGTCTTCAGGAACTTACCTTATGAAAATGGATGTTAACACATTACCATGTCATAGTGTATGTCCAAGCAAATGAGTTAGAATCCTGGATGATCCTTTATTTCTTCTCTGTCTAATTAAGTGCAGATATCACTCTGTATACACCCCAGGTATTTCTGTGTGTACACTTGCCTTCATTCCTAAACCAAATTCAGAACCTTCTAACTGCCAAGCACGTCTTGAATGACTTCTAGATGTTGCTGATTAGTTCACAGCACCCTGCAGATAAAGTGACTGGGTGGTCTCAGCTGCTTTTTGGGAATTCCACGGCACTTCTAAGAAAGTGCATTCACTTTCTGTCTGGGAAGTATGTACTTCTCAGAAGGCTCTCCATTCAATGATTCATTTTTTCCCAACCTTCAATGCTGGGTGAAGAACATATCCCTCCCCTACGCATATACCTTGATGCTTGTGTAGACTTTTCTGTGGAATTAGATAGACCTGCTCTTCTCCATCCACTCCATCACAGACTCTAGATTCTCAACAGAGTCAGAAAAGCCATGACAGGGCCATACATGGGTGAACAGAGACCATGAAATGCTGAAACAGCACAGCCAAGAGCAGGAGGGACTATTTCTGCAATTACTGCTGTGATACAAATGCATTTGTACAAGAAGTACATTTGTATGCGCATATTTATCCCTGTGTATATTACTCAGCCATACATACTTAGAGTTTACCTATGCACATATATTTTTTTAAATCATCTGTGTCAATTGCAGTGTATATCTTGTAAACGGCACACTCCATGTCTCAATGCTTCTATGGATGCAATGCTCCTTGGTATCACTGTAGCCCTATGGGGATTTCTCCCATGGCATATTTTGTGTAGTGGTTACCAGTAAACCTTTAGCCAGGCATACAGCATGTGTGATTATTTCATGGTATCTGAGAATGGGAGAGAAATAAAATACCTGGGCTTCAGATTCAGCACTCTGGAGCTAAGGAGTTTGGGAAGTCTGATGATGTGAATGTGTCTACTGTGTAGGTTCTTGATTCTGATGAACACTGGACAAGACCCTTCTATTACACTGGCTTTATTACTTAGGCTATGTCTCCATGGTTACAAACTTTATCTGAGGGGGCTGCAACTCCTACGTTGAAGGCTTGGTATTCGATACAAGCACAGGAGTGAGATCTATGATACATGTTGCTTTTTACATAGTTGAGGAATATGCTTTCAAATATAGTGTGTCATACTAATGGAAGGAAGTTACAGCCCAAACCTTCATCCCACTGACATAAATTACACAAGGTGAGATCTTATTCCTGTTTTGCTAAGATCCAATGTTTCTAATTCCTTTTAAATAAGCTACGTAGAGAAATACGTGCCAGATGAGACCTAGTTCTTTTGTTAATATTTAAGTCCACTCTCAACCATGAAGATAGCATTCCCTTTGCTTGGAAAAGCAGGGATGAGAAGAGGGCTAGAGGCAGCATCAGTTTATGTAGAAATATAGTTACAGAGCTTCTTGTATGAAGATACACACTCCCCAGGACCAAGGAAAATGGAGATAGTTCTTAACTGGTGGTTGTTCCTAGGATTACAAACACCTGGTTCCTCTAAATGGCTCTTGCTGCTGACATGTGATGACACAGTAGATGGTCTTATATCAAGTGCTTTGGCACAGAGGAGAACACAAGCCTATTACGTGGCTGTTCTCCAGGGGAAAGGAAAGGCCTTCTCCTCTGCTTAGCTGTGGAGAGACAGCTCTCTTGCAGAGCTCAGATCCCTGTCTTGGGAGAAAAGAACAGATATATCAGATGGGAGGGAGGCATGACTCTTTGCTGGGTGACTCCCCATTGGCAATGGCTATCAGAAGACTCTCAGGGCAAGAGCACAGGGTTAGAAGTCACAGAGTGCAACTGACCTGGGTCCCTGAGGTCTCTCCTTTGCCAGGCTAATGTCATGTTTTTAACCAAACCTTGCACGTTAAGCTTCCTTTCCTATGCACTGAACTGAACTGCACGATGACTTCAGGGCTCTAATTAGCTTCATAAGCCCTGGTGTTCAGGGTGAGCTTGGGCTAGGTTCACCCATAGGAGCCTGTGGATGGACCTAAGGCCAACTGGATGGAGCTTCCATCTCTGGGAGGTGGAAGCCCATGCTAACCTCTCCTTCCAGAGGCCCACTTTAAAAATTACTAGAAGCATTTCATGCATGCTTGAAAATCTTAGCCCAGTGTTCTGCTTCATCTTTCTGTATTCTGGCAACTGTTGGGAAGAATAGGCCATTCTCACATAACCTTGCAATCTTTGGGGTTTCTTGAGCTGTTGCCACATAGCAAAGAAGACTACCTTATTTCTAGAAACTGCGAGTGTCAATTGACCCCAGGAGTTGTTGCCTCCATGCACACTCCTTCTGTGTGCTGCCCTGATAATGAGTCGATGGGTTCAGCAAAGCATATTTAGAATCCATAAAAAGGTGTCCCGATGCTCCATTATGGTGACAGAAATATCACTGGCCAATCCATATTATTGGCCATAGTCGCTATCTTACTGGCCTCTTGGCCAACCCTCGAACATGAGAAGCATGAAGGAGAAATCCTACGTAGACTGCATTAGAAGAATTCAGCTTTCCTCTCTCAGCTTCAAGTTGCTAGCAGAAAGCAGTCTTATTGACAACTTGTAGTGAGGGGTCGCTTCATGTAACAGCAGCAGTATGCACCCTCTTGCTTGCTCTGTTCTTCATGCTACTAACCAGGCTCTGTGGATGTTGTTTTTGTCTTACATTTGATTTGGGGGAGGTTGCTTTGCATGTCTTCTCCTCTTGGCTGTTGGTTGCGGGGTTGAGCCTTTTCCTTTCTATGATTCAGGTGCCTCACTCTTTCCTTTCCAGGTTCTTCCAGTTCTTTTAACATGTCAAACTCTGGAGATTTGTTCATGAGCGTGCAGTCACTCAATGGGGATTCTTACCAAGGGGCCCAGGTTGGAGCCAACGTGCAATCACAGGTAGGGACCCAGCCAATATGCCGCCAGGTGAATTCAGTAGAGTCCAAGAGCCTTCAGTTGTATCAGGTTCCTGCTCCTGTCCAGACAGAGAGAAGGAAAAAGGAAGGAAGGGAGAGGCAGATACACAGCAGCCAACCCAAATAAAAATAAGACAAAGCAGAAAATGCAACCATTCTCGTAGGGGATCGTGTCCATCCATTGTGAGTATATCTGGCTGTGGCTTGTCAGTCACACTAGGAAGGCAGGGAAGGAAGAAATAGGGTAAGGTGAAGAAGGCCTGTGAGGCAGGTGGAATTGGCATCTTCATTATTCTTCAACGCAAAATGAATTTCAGCCCGTTACCTCTTCCGAATCTCCCTCTCATCTGTTGGTTTCCCATCTTTAGGATTTGCTAACATACGGAAGTCGTCCATGATCAGGCCTTAGTGTCTCCTGTTTTCATTTTAAGCTTTAAAATTACCAAGCCAGCTTGATGGAATACATATGCTTAGTCACCCTTGAGGTCAATGGACTCGAGTTTCTGATGGATGATAAGGCCACACTGGGAACCAAAAATCGGTCATGTGTAAAACCTCAGTGCTTCTTAGTAAAACCCTCCGCCTTCAAGACAGATATCTCAGGAAGCCATCCTTCTATCTCAGCATGAAGTGTGATCTGAGAGGGTAAAGTCGTAGGTTTTGGGTCACAAAGACTTGGAAAGATATGAGCCATGTCTACCCATGTGTCCTATCCAACACATGGAACAGAAAGCCTACATGTCTGGAATAGACAGCTGGCTGGTGACTCAGCCCCTTGCTCAGGAAACACTGCCTGGAAACAAATTTGAGGTGATACAGGCAGACTTTGGTCATTTGACTAAAAGACTTACCATCATATAATTCCTTGATAAAAAAAAAAAAAAAAAAAAAAAAAACAGAAAAAACAAAACAAAACAAAAAATCCCAACTGGGTCTTTATCCCAGCCCCTCTCTGTGTCATGGCTGCCCAAGACTAAGCAGAACTTTGGCTCTCCTACCGGTTGCATGGGACAATCTACAGGGAAGAAAAGTTTGTGGGGGGATGACAAAGGAAGTGAAGCATCTCTGTCCTCTTCACACACCACCCTGCCCAGCACCACAGTTCCTGTCATCTCACATAGCATTGTGCAATCTGTCTCAATTTTGGGGAATCCAAGTTTTCTTTTCCTGTTTTACTGATCTCGGAAGTAACAATGGATTTGGCATGGGGGAGAGTCCCAGCCTCTTCCTCGTGGACTCTCCCCCAGGAAGAGCTTCTCTATAATGATGGCTTTAATGTGGCATGCCACACGGGTAGCCTGTATGATGATGATACGCCACGCTCCTCTCCCTCTCTCCGACTAATTGCCTCTCTGTTGCTCTTCCTCTGTCTAGGTGGATACCCTTCGCCATGTTATCAGCCAGACAGGAGGATACAGTGACGGACTCGCAGCCAGTCAGATGTACAGTCCGCAGGGCATCAGTGTAAGCAAACAAGGCTCCCCGAACCCTTTGTTTCTATTCTATCACTGCCAATTATTTCAAAGCCACAGGGCCCAGAATGCCACTTAGTAGGACTTGTCTTAGCTTTCCAGTCACCTAGTTTCTTGTTGCTGCATCCATCGGTTATGCCATCGGCAGCACCCTCCCCATAAAAGAAAGTGGGGATCGGGCAGGCTTCATGCAGGCAGCTGGCGTCTAGGGCTGTCAGACGCAATCAGTGTTTGCGTGGCACCTGCGGCCACATGCGTGCAGCTGAGAGGAGCTGCTAAACAGGTGACACCTAGTACAACAGTGCTAGGAAATGTCACCACAGGCTGGGACCAGGGCACCTGGAGAAGAAAACCAGTGGCCCAAATCCATTGCATCCAGGTCCGTGACCGCAAAAATAAAACACCTTTTTTTTTTTTTTCCCAAATGCGCCCAATAGATGATTTTTAAAAATCGACACCAAGGCCTAGTATGTTGAAGGGACAGGGAGGGGGTATGACCATCTTCTACTTGTTCTTGGGTGCGCTGGCGGATCCTGACTAGCATGAAAATTCATAGCGACAAGCTATGTCGCACAGAGTGAAATCGATCAGACAGACACAAGGAGAACCGAGTGTAGATTTGGGACAGCAATCCAACTTGATTTCTCAGATCAATCGTCTGCTATCTCAGCAGCGATGACAGCAAGCTGGGACATGAGGGAAGCCTGGAAAAGGAGGCTGCTCTTTAGATCAGGGGTGATTCCCAGGCTTTTAGAGGTCACCGGAGGCTCCAGTGGGGTGATTGCCTTGGAACTGCTGAAAGAAAGCAGAGCTGTGGTTGGTTGATGGGGGTCATTGTTATTGTTTGTTGCTGTTACAATTAAAGTAAGTTAGGAGTGGAAGGAAGGCAATGCAGTCCTGATTTAATTATGTGATCTCAGTCTATTCTAATTGAGGTAAAATGTCTACAAGGACATGGGGGATGGCCCCTTCAACTCTGCAATGAGTCTTGTCCTACCCAATTATGACAGATCTGGAAGGAATCAAGAGAAGAGAAGCTATTTCCTCATTTGAAGAATAATTCTTTTAAAAATGAGGAATGGTAGCACTGATATAGCTCCATCAGCCGAGTGTCTGCTATGCAAGCATGAACACCTAAGTTGGACCCAGAGCACTTATGTAAAAAGTCATCTTGCAACACATCCTTAAACCCATCACTAGGGAAGCAGAGACAGGGAGATGCCTAGAGCTCTTTAGCGAGATAGCCTAGTGAGAGAGACCCAGCCATAAGAAACGAAGTGAAAAGAAATCAAGGAAGATATCAGACCTCAACTTTTTACCTCAACATACACATACAACACATGTACACATACCCAAGTGCACCCATGCACACACCCACACAAGCACATTCATAAACTACACACACGTAAAGAAGAGGAATTCTTATCCCACCAAAGAGAAATTGTGGGTGATACATAGCAACTTTAATACTGCTCTCACAGAGAGAGATTGGCTTCATCAGAAATGGTCTAAATGGGACAGGATAAGTTTGCTGAGTAGAAGCATCAGAGAAGTGGATTCCAGGTACTCACTGGCCTTTGTAACAGTCAAGGTCTCCCATGGCTTGGCTAGCATCTTGGTAAGGATGTGGTAGAAGCGAGGCAGTATTAGGTAGTAATTGGGGGGGGCGGCTTGGTTAGTGATAAATATTATTGCTTACAGTTAAAAATTCTTTGGGGGTGTTTGTAGACCAGGCTGGCTTTGAACTCACAGACATCCACCTACCTCTGCATTCCAAAGTACTGGGATTAAAGGCCTGTCCCACCACCACCCACCAAGTATTCTTTTTCCTACCTTCAGGCAGATTCTTTCCCGAGCTCAATATCCTAACAATTGATCACTCTCTGGGAAGAAAGGAAAGGCCTGCCTGCCTGTCTTGTTGAACATACTGTCAACAGTCATGTCATTTTCTAGAAAAGTTCAGAGAAGGGATTCTTCCCATTTTGTGCTATGATAAGAAGTCATTGTTATCATTGTGTTGGTGGCACCTTGCTGGGAAGCATGCCTAGGGGAGCACAGGGTTCAATGTAGTACGTGTGTTCTTAAAGAGAGTCCGAGAGAAGGCAGGAGCTAGGTGTCTGTGGCATTAAGAGCATATGCACCTGGCCATCACTGGATGTTTATGAGGTATTAGACTTTTCCAGAAATAATTTTGTGCATACGTGAAAGAGGAAACTATGAAGAAAGCTTAAGTGTGGGAACAAAAAGTACAGATGTACACAAAAAGGAAACTGAAGGAAGTCCTTATGACTCACTACGGGATGGATCTGACAGTTTCTTATTTGGCATCTCCCCCCTCCAAACTGCAGTACTGCAATAAGCAGGACTAGATGGGACCAGAGGAAGGAGATGCCCAATATTGACCCTTTGACATAATCTGGTGGGCTGGAAATCATTTCTGAGATAGTATAGCAAACATGTGCAGACAATTATGTCTGATTACATAAGCCCTGCACAAAAAAATAGGCTGGGAAATGCCACTTGAAAGAGTCACTCATGTGTATTAATTTTTCCCCCTGTAAATTGTGGTTACTTTATTTCTGAGTCTCTAATATACAGGGTAAGTGCATCAAAGGACAGTGGTGATATGATACGTTGCTTTGGTGTCAGCCTTTAAATGTGCAACCTGCAGGAGATGAGGCTGGTTGTAGCAAGATGTATTTTTAGACATTGGTATTAGAAGACAGGACATGGGCATACACAGAATAGGGTTCTAACTGCCAGGAGAGAGAGAGAGAGAGAGAGAGAGAGAGAGAGAGAGAGAAAGAGAGAAGAAGAAGAGGGGGAGGGGAGAGAGAGAGAGAGAGAGAGAGAGAGAGAGAGAAGGGGAGGAGACACAAGAAGAGACAAGGGCAGGAATGAAAGTTCCGAGCCAAGAAGCAAAAATAAACAATCCTAAACCCAAAGCAGCAATGGAATTCCCAGCTGGGCTCTGGATTGTGTCTCATTTGATGGAGGACATTTTCTGGGCAGCGTTCATCTACTCCCTGGCTGGGTTTCCACAGCACCCATATCTTATCCAACTAGTGTCTATTTTTAAGTCGTGTAAAATGTGGACCTCTCGCCACTAACTGAGCTCAGAGCAATGGGATTACAAAGGTGTAGAGGTAACGTCCTATAAGGGTAGTGGGTAGATGACTTGTCTTGGTAAGCCCGGTATCAGGGGATGCTTTGGGAAAATGAAAAAGTGAGGAGAAAAGGGAGTGACTAGGTCTAAGTTGCTTCACACGAATACAGTGCGAAGTGCTTCAAGTGGTGACTCTCTGGTTTGATCTTTTCCCCCTCTTTGTGAGCAGTTTTTACAAAGTGTATTTCCTGATAAGGGTAGTTTAGGACACCATTCTGATGCAAAGGCATGGATTTAAGATGGGCACAGAGTCATTCAAGGCCTCAGAACCCCCTTGTTAGCCACTGTCAACACTAAATTATACCCCCATAAATACTTCATGTTTTCATATGACCACAGGTGAATCTTAATACATGTAGAGGGGCTCTAAGCAGCTCAGGGAGACTGTTCCCCTTCTCTGTCCATCAGACATTCTAGTCTTTCTTTCCATTGCCCCAACCATCTCCCTAGTTCTGGAAGTAGTCCATTAAGTAGGCTTCTGCAGCAGACTTCTTACTGTTGCTGTCTTCCGTTTGCCTCTCTTACACATACCGGTACACTGAAGTCTTCCCATGCTGTTCTTTGATTAGAAATAATGATCAGTCTTTACTGCCTGCCTAATCAGACCCAAACTCTGATTCCATATACAGGATTTTCCAGAGACTTTGGCCCAGCCTACCTGCCCTTAAACTCTTGGTTCTAATTCATGTGGTCCACTGACCTTTACCTGGTTACATCTTAAACCTCCTCCTCTTTCTGTGTCTTCGCACCGTTTGAGTGCCTGGTGCCCTTGGAGATTAGGCCACTGAGCCATCTCTCCGGCCCCTGCATTTACTTCTATAAAACACCTGCATGAGTGTCCCTTCACTCCTACACCATCTTCACTGCCCCATTCCCACCCCAAGCTCAGTTCCTACTCGGTGCCTTTTGTCCTATTCATCTTTTTCCTTTCATTTCTTAAACACAAACCTCTTTTGCATTTAAAGTCACAAAGTGTATTTATTACCATTGTACCTTTCATCCCTACATATGTATACGGCCGTAAAATACATATCCTATTTCCTTATTTTGTTTAGTGGAAATGCCAGTCAGGAGAAGAGAAGATGCTACCAAATTAAAAACATTTTTAAGAGCCACATTCAATGTATCAGCTGTAAGGTAACTGGTAATAATGATTATTTTAAGTGTTTCTCTTATCCATAAACAGGCTATGTTTAAAATCTAAAAATGTTCTTAAATATTTCTTTTTGAGAGTGGCCTTTCTAGGTCAGGTATGGCAATGCATGCTTAGGAAAGAAGATAGACGATTGTAATGTTAGGGTCAGCCCGGGCTCCACAGCAAGACCCAGCTTCAAAAACAAACACCACCAACCAAAAACAGCCCTCTAAATGCTTAGGAGCATGTGTTTCGTATGAGAATAAAATCCAAGGTTCTCCTCCACTCAGCATGTGTGGTGCTGTGTGGTGATGTTTCTGAGTGCCATCTCCGTAGGTCCTGTCACTCATAGCCCCAGAGACCCTTTCTTTCCGAGGGTATCTCTGCGAGAGTTCCTGTTGGTTGGATAGCAGTTTCCTTAATGATTCTCGTTGCTCCTCTCCTGCTGTGGAGGTGGGGGCTACACACCCCACTTGGAAGAGAGTGGAAGAAACCAGAAAGGAAGAAACCTTAGAACCTGGGATCCCAATGAGCCAACCTGAAAGTCTCTTTCTGCTTAGAAATTCTACAGTTCTACAGTGTGACAGTTGAGTCCCTTAATTAAAGGGACACCAGGACAAACTTCCAGCCCACCTATTTTCCCCCCTTAGATTGTATCTTGAGTTCAAATGTGCAGGAAAAGGAGGAGGTC